TTCTGCTTGCGTATGTGCGGACGAGGATGCGCGTCGTGTTACGCCGGCGTATCGATGTAGCCGGGCGATGTACGCGCGTCTCGTGTGCGTCCTACGCGTACGCGTGTGCGTGCGTGCGTGTCCGGACGCGCGGCGAATGCGAAATCGCCGCGCGCGAAACAGTTCGATGCGCGGCGATTATGTGCGAATTTCTTGCCGCGACGTCGGGCATCGATCGCGGACGTTCGTTCGTTCGGACGCGGCCGACTTCGTTTCCTGACGACGCCCGACGAATTTAACGAGCTTGCGCCGCGTGCGAAAGTTTCTACCGGCGCGTCGACGAACTCGACGAAAATAAGACGAAGTCCGGACCGGGAGTTCTCTCTCTTTGCCTGCGTGCGCGACGGCCGAGAGGTGCGCGAGAGAAATGCGAGGGCGGAAAAACGCACTTTTCGCGATACGCGTCTGCCCTTTAACACGAGCTCGAAGATCACTCGAGTCGTCGTGTCGTTTTTGAAAACATTCACACGTTCGCACGTTTATTTACGCGGGGAAAAAATCACCTGCCGGCACAGCAAACTTTATGCTGTCGCAATAAAATCTGTAAGTCACTATATTATTGTATGGATGGCGAAACGATTTGTTTAAGTATACCATTTGCCGTTCGCTGGATTATTCTGCCGAATCTACAAATTATTTTGCCGTGAGAACAAATTGGTTAATGTAGAAAAACATTATTTTGTTCTAACAGTAAATTAACGTGTAACAGCTTGTAATGAATATATGAACGCAGCAATACCCTTAATTTGTAAATGAATTACTGAATGTCAGCATAAAATGGTTCTAAGTTTAAGAGAGTATTTGGTAGAATTATATGCAATACTTCTTTTCCATTGAAGAAACCTAGTGGTTTGAAATTAACCATTTTATGTCCGGTAAATATCTCCTAAAAAATAAATTTCGATATCCCGAATATTATGAATTTAATCATTCTCGCAATTGTTTCAATATGTACAAGTAAACGTTTGCTTATACGAAGAAAATATGCTGTATATAATCAATTATATTTCTACTTCTCGTAAATATTTACCAAGGAATGTTGGAGTGAACCATTTAACTTGGTAATCAAGGAAATATGATTTGAACGGCAGCGCTTTTTCTCAGTGCGCAGCCTCGTGAACTCGCGAATACGAGCGGCGATCCGCGACGCGAGATTCTTCGCGAGGAGAAGCGCGATTTCATTGAGAGCGACGCGCGCGAGAGGAGCCCTCTTTATAATCCGACGCATCCTTGAATTTGGGCGTGTCCGCTCTCGCGGCGAAGTTCCCGTGGAAGTTCAGGCCTCACCTTCCACCCCGCCCGAATGTCCAATCGCCGGCGACGTTTTTTTCTCCCCTCTTTTTGTTTGGAATCTCTAGTTTTTTAGGGACCGCCGGAGATAAAGGGCCCCGACCGGCGTGCCGGTGAAGGAGACGCAGAGCGAACCGTCTCTACCTTTGTTCGCGAAGTTAATTATCGCGCTTGCTCTTCTCGCGCGCGCGTGCGCACGCCGCACAGCTTCTATAATTAGTAACATAAATTGCACTTATAACGAGGAGCCGCGCAATCTCCGCGATGCGCGCGCCGGCATTTAAATCGCTGTCCCCGCGATATTTACGGAATACTTGTATTACTCAATACCGACACTTTTCGTATTTAGAGAGCGTATTTATTCAATATCGTAACTGGTCGGAACACGAGGTACATGAGACTTCCTCTCGGATACTTTCTAAAATCGCCTCGCGCCGCGCGGCATTATCAGATTTAATCTCACCGGTGGCGCTTCGATTGTTCTTTTTGGAGGCGCGCTCGTTCGAGAAATCTTTTCTACGTCAACGGTGCTCGGCGCGGCTGCCGAGATTCCCGAGGCGGGTTTCTCGACGGTAAGACGGAAATCGTTTCGAGCGAGCGTATCCGTAGACAACGCGAGGACGCGTTTTTGCGGTCAGCGCCGAGAAACGCTGCAGAAGACAATATCGGTGATTATGTGACGCGACGGCCGCGATCAGGAATGAAAACGAAATTGAATTCCACAGCGCGTTATCGGAAGCAATCCGATCATAGGAAGTCTCCCTCGCTTCGTTTCCTTGTAATTTCTAAGAGTTACTCTCGTTGAATTATTACTTTCGTGCGTCCGCGCTTCTTTCTCTCTCTCCCTCTCTCTCTTTCTCTCTCTCCGCACGATCATCGTGTCCGCAAACGTTGCCTCGCCGAGTCTAACGATGCAACGGAGATACTAGGTACGGTGATTTCTTAATTCGTTGTACAGGGTGTTCCATAATTGACGGTGTAACCAGAAAGTGACGATTTTTTATGGAACGGAAGAGAGAAAAGGTCGAAAACGTGGGATAACATTTTTCCGTCTTGCGACGTTTCGTTTCGTTCTCTCGAGAAAACTGGCCTCGAGGATGAAGAAATTATATTATCTCTTAACTATCGACACACACGTGACACCGACACAACGGTAGAGTACAGTGCACGCGATGAAACAAACGACTCGCGAATTTTTTCTTGGCCGCGCGCGCGCCAAGTTTCACCAAGCGACAAACGTATGGCGAGCCACGTACCAAAGTCCAGACAGGATACGAAGGATTGAGTCTCGTTAGTCCCCAATCGCCGAATCGGAGGAGACTATTTTGGCGTGCGCCCGTGACGCTCGTTTCGTTTCGGCCGGCCAGCGGACTTTCAGCCGGTCGACGCTTAGATCCTCTCGCGCGCGCGCGTTTATGAGCGACGCTCGAAATTAACGAAGGGTTTCCTTAATCGTCCCTCCGAGTTGCACAGCGCGAAATTAACAGGTCGATAATTCCGACTGAGAAGACAGGGGTGAATTATCAAAATCATACTACGCTAAAACAGAATCTAGTAATACTATCTGGTAGTACAAAATTTGGTGAATATTTCCCGACCAAATATTTGATTACTGCGACAAAGTAATTTAGTTACTGGTATATACAGTATTGTAGTTTCGTATACTGTATATTTAGTACGCAGGACTAAATTATATTTACCGAAATATATTTAAATTTTATACAGTAATCGAAATGTTTAGTCGGTAAATTTTAATACTTACCAAACATTACCAAATTTTAGCACTTATTGCTACATCATTTTTTCAGTGTATTTGAGATATTTTTAAGATATCAATACTAATAATTGGCAACTTTTAATTACTGTGAATAGAAAAACATAATTTTGTTCATTATCATCAGGTTGTGTCTAAACCACAAAGTTAACCAGAAAATGAAAAATCATGCCTTAGAATCTATGTTTCAAGTGATAAACTTCCAACTAGAACCGGAACGTAGATGTTCCAATTGGAATCCATGATTATTTTGGGAAATCCGACTGGATCCCAATTAGATCCCAGGAAATTTCCCACGCCGCTCAGTTTTGGAGAATCGTCTTTCCGACGAATTGGGAAAGCCGTGTTTGCAAAATGACACATCGCGACTGTGCGCTCTTCCTCGACTGGTTAGGCTCTTCTCCCTCGCCGTCGAAAGAAGGGCGAGGGTGCGTAAAAAGAACGAGGACGACGATCGAGGGGGTGAAGAAAGGAAGGAGGGGAGTTTGGCGGGTTGCGCGCGGCCGTCTGGCCAGTCGATTACGGTGCCGAAACGAGCGCCGGGGTATCTCTCCAACCAGTTTCGGACAGTGTCTTCGCTCGTGGCTATAAAGAGAAGGACGGCGAGCAAGCGGACTCGCGAGGGAAGAAGCATGCCTATGCGACGGAGAAAGCGAGAGCCGGAGGAGAACGGCCGCGATCGAGGCAGGGGAGGGTGCTCGTGCGACGTAGAGGAGGATGGAGAGTGAAAAGAACGACGGAGGGAAGTACGATTATTACGCGAAGGAGGGAAGAGAGGCGAGGAGAAGGTCAGAGGGAGGGTAAGGAGAGAAAGCGCGATGAAGGGGGAGGTGGCGGAGGGTGGTGGACCGGAGGGATAGCGAAGGAAGCGAGTGCTGAAAGCGAAGATGCGCGCGAGGGGGACGTGAGCGCGGAAGAGCCGAGGAATGAGGGAAACATCGAGGAAAATATGTTGGACGATAAAGAGGCAGATAAGTGGAGACATGAGAGAAAGAAACGAGACGGGGAGAGAGCGAGATGAGTAAGATGCCGAGGAAGAATCTGTCTGAAGGGAGGAGGAAGAGGAGAAAGATGATGGGAGTTGGGGAGAAGGAGAGAAGGAGGTAGTCGTGTCCTCTCTCTCTCTCTCTCTCTTTCTCTTTCTGCGAGTAAAATATGTGCGAAAGAAAACCCTAAGAAGGAGACTTGACTGACCGAGCTAGAAAATCCGCGACGACTAAGATTGGAGGCTGGGATGAAACGAAGAAGACACCGGAGGAACTTGACCAACGTTGCGAAGGAACGAGAACAGCGTCCCATGGCGAGGAAGACGAATACCATCAAGAAGACGACGACGACGACGAAGACGACGAAGATGACGGAGAAGAAGAAGAAGAAGAAAAGCCAGCGGAGGCGGTCGCCGAGTTTGAGTTTCGGTTTCGTTCGTCTCGCGCCTGCTCCACGTCGAACGGGAGCCGAGAGTGAACCTGTTCAGCAGCGAGGGAGACGGAGAGAGAGAGAGAAAGAGAGAGAGAGAGAGGGAAAAGGAGTGGGAACGACAGAGATCGACAGGGCGACCCGACCGCGAGTGCGTCAGCAGCGAGAACGACGGAGAGAGACAGACTCGCTCGTGTGAGAGTTGGCCCGAGCGAGACGGACGCGACGGGCGCGCGCGCGCGCGAGAGAGAGAGAGAGAGAGAGAAGGAGAGCGAGTCCGCGCGGGAGAGAAGGAGAACGGCGGAGAGATCGACGCGGGAACGTGATAGAACGAGCGCGAGCGAGACGGAGCGAGATAGGGAGCGCGAAAGAGCGGGGTAGAGCGCCAGAGAGAAAGAGAGGAGGAGAACAGACTTGAGTCGCTCGCTCTGCTCCCAATAACGACTCTCGCCCTCGGTCAGTCGCGCGCGAACCGCGGAGCCGCGAGCATCTCTCCGTCTCTCTTGCATCGCCAAGGGAGAGACTCCGGTGTTTCTCGCTCGCTCGCTCGCTTCGGCCTGCCAACCGCGCGCCCGTCCTCCGGGCACGTGCGACAGGGAGGAGGAAGGAAGGAGAAGGAGGGAAAAGGGAATTCGAGGGTGAGAATAAGCGCGAAACCGATGCGAGCGAAGAGAGCTGAGTCGGTCCGGGAAGGTGCGCCTTGATGATCGCGGAGAGGAGCCCGCTCGCGGGAAAGGGTCGCGCAAAGTGGAGCGAGAAGCGGAATTCGCGGCATCCCTCCGTCATCCCGGGCGAATAGAAGCCGCGCGAAGACGCGGTGAAAATAGCGGTGGTGGGCCGCGAGGTCGCCTGGGAAAATAGCGTTCGCGAATCGAAAAGCCCGTCGGAGAAGAGCGGTGGTGCAGTCACTCGGTTACTCAGTCAGTCAGTCGGTCGGTCGGTCCAGTCGATTTCCCGCGAGGTCGTCGCGGCGAACCGATCTTCCGAGGAAGATCCGCGCGCGGTATCGGCCGAGGCGCACAGTGGGGTGATTATTCTCCCAGGAGAATCGTCCGCGTTAAGAACAGCGACGGGGGTGGGTAGGCTGTATCTTGTCAACGCGGTGATATCGGATCGGGGCGAGAGAGGGAAGAAAAGGGAGAGAGAACTTTGCGGGAACATCCGTCCTATCGATCCGCTCGGGAAAAAGTGAGCATCTTCTCCGCGAGATCCTCCGCGAATCCCCCGAGGGTTCCGCTCTCACGCCGACACCCGGGGAGCAGCGCTCGGGTCATAGGTCGCGACGCGTCCTCGTCCGAAAATCGCTTCCCCGCGATCGATCTTCCGATCGTCCTCCCGACCGAGCAAGTCGACGAGCGCGCGAGCCGCCGATAATCCCGCCATGAAGCGTCAAGTGCCGCGCACCCTGTGATAAGAGAAGGCAGGTCCGCGCGAAACGGAGAAGCTGGCATCGGCGTGGCGGTGGCGGCGACGGCGGCGGTGACGACGGCGGCCGACGGTGGGGGCACGCGGCCAGACGGAGGATCGATGGATCTGTAATGCGTGCAAAGTGCGATCCGGCGTGCACGACGACGACGACACGGATACCCAGATACCGCAGATCGGGTCGCGGCGGGCGGAGGAGGCGCGCCGGAGAGGAGGATCGGACGGAGAGGCGGAATAGGGGCGAATGAGTACTTTTCGAGGTTATCTCTCGGGGGGGAGCGCACGTCGGGACGGATTCTCGGCGATATTAACGACGACGACGACGTGATCTCGTCCGAGCGCGGCTCTCGCTGGTGACCGAGTGAGAGAAGAGAGCGAAAGGGGCGAGCAGGAGGTACGCAAAAGTGAGCAGGACCGCCGACGACGAGGAGGCGAGAGAGCGGAAGGCGCGCAGAGCGTGTGTGTGTCGTCGCCGTGTTGCCCTCGCCGAGGAAGCGGCAGCGCGTCGCAGAGCGCGCGCGGAGGCTATTGCTATTTTCGAGCCCGCCAAATATCTCGGGTACAACCGCGCCGTCGAGGCTGTGTTCTCTCGCTCCTCTTCTCCCGTCCCGCTCTGCTCTCTGTCTCGCTACCGAAACGAGTGTTCCCCTCTCGCGTTGATTCGCCTCTCGCAGCGGCAACGGCGGCGGTAACGGCAGCGTCGATTCTGCACACCGACGAGTCAACCGCGCGCGCGCGCGCGCGCTTCGACGATCAGCATCGGATCACGTGACAGGTAGGAGAAATCACGAGAGATGTGGAATGAAGAGGAGACTTCTCTTTAGTTTCTTTTTCCCTTTTTCCCCCTCCCGATCGCTTTATTCTCCCTCCGGCGAGCAGCGACCGCGGGTGGTTGCGACGCTCGTGTGACTCGAAGACGGGGGTTGAAGGAGGCGTGGGATCGGGATGCGCAACGTGCCTTCGAGGGCCCGGCGAGACTCGAACGTGAGAAACCGGCGCGGTCCGCCAACATCCGGGGTAAATCGCGCACCGGCCATTCCCCGCGCGCTCCCTCTGGGATCTTCGATAGGCTCAATCTCGAGCTCGCACTCGGGTTTGATACGAACAATATCTTATGGGATTCGATATGAGAATGGATAAAAATACACACCCCTCGGGAAAGATAAAAACGGAAACGTGCATTTATAATTGATATGGGAATTAATTATCGCGCGACCATGCGACCACTCTCATGGTCCGTTCGCTTTATCTTTATTCCACTCTCTTATTTATCCTCCAATATAAATTTCATGCGTTTTGCCAGCCACGGGATAGTTAACTTCTTATTAACTTCTCGTTAACTTCTGTCTGATAACTGAGGGGTGAAACTACTTGGGATCCCGATTCAAATGTAGATGGGCGTCTAGGAGAACTGCATACATTTCCACGAGGAACAACTCGATTCGATTTTGACCGACTCTGACGGGAATTACTCTGTTATTTGTATTCTTATGGCGCGGATCGTGTTCGTGCACGATCGGTGACGTTGCGATTCCTCGTCGCGGCGGAACATCTGCGTCGGTTCGGAGAGGATTTTCGAGCATGCTCTCGATATACGACGAATACATCGAGATTATTTTTACACGTGTCCCGCGTGCTGTGCGTCATTGGGTAGCTCCCCGCGACGTTACGCTTCGCTCGATGTATTCACCTCGCACGTGGAATATTCTCGAGGAGCGCCCGAGGAACCGCTTCCCGTCGGCGGATCAGGCGGCGAGGAATTTTCCGCGTGTGTGTTTTCGAGACAGAGCGGAGACTCGGCGCGAAACTGAAGCAGCTGCTGGTTACGCTCGAGACATCCCTCATCGATATCTGCATTCGCCGCGACGGCCACGTCATCGCGCCGCAATGGCGCGTTCAAGTGCAGCGTTTTCGGTAATTCCAGCCGGCAACGCCAGTGGGTCAGAACGTCGCGAATAATTCAACCGGCGAATCCCGCGCTGCCACAGCAGCTGCGGCGCTTTTGTCAGCCGTGTTTTCCTCGTGTTTTTCTTTTTTTCGAAAAAACCGCCGCGAATGCGTCGGGAGGTGAGTAATCGCGCCGGCTAATAAATCAGCGCGGATACGGACAAGGTTCGGTAAACAGCGAAGCGTGTGATTAACGAGACTACGTGAAAGTCGTCTATCGCGCGCTTTAATTCGACTGCGACCTCTGACACATTGCGACAATGAGCTCCGCGATCTTTTTTTCGGGAAAACGGAGCGCGATATCTCTCCGTTCGTGCCGCCTCGGTTCGGACACTTTCCGGACAAGTTTGATTTCGATTGAAATTTGATTGAAATTCGACCAGCACCTGAAAAAACATTACAATCATCTAGCAGGCGATTAAAGAGATCAGACGTCGATACAATTTCAACGAACGAGCGCGAACGAAAAGACACAGTACGCTCGCGCACATTTACATTGCGCTCTCCCCGGTGGCGCGTGTAACGCGTAGCGGGGTTCATCTCGGTTCGTCGTCCGTAGGACGTTGGTATTTTTTTCCCGTGCACGGCCAATGGCGCATGGACCGGACGTCGCTTGCCGATCACGTCTCCAGCCGGGCTGAATTATTCGCGAGGCGATAAAATTCGAGACCGGGACGAGAGCGGGCGGGGTCGGGGACCCTCCCGAAAATTCTTGGGGACGTGAGCTGCCGCACTGACGAGCGTCGATTAGCGGGAATAGAGTTACCGTCGTGCTGCCTCGCGTCTGGTCGATCGGACAAATACGAGGTGTAAGAAAAGCCTTCTCTCCCTCGCGATTTCCTTACGAGAGGAAAGCCTCGCTGTGAATTAGCGGATATCACGGCGAGGGAAACGGTGGATGGTCCTTTCGGCGAATTTCGGCGATCGGACTGACAGCGGGACGGACAAAATGGAAAACCTCGGCGGTTATTCGATGTTAATTAGCAGAACGCTCGTAGCGTGAAATTGGTGACGTAGCGATTGTTTGATGTTAACGTTTTATTCGCGCCGTTAGTATAGAAATTCTTGCGCGACCTGTATGCGAAAAAATATCGTGTTACGTAATATAATGTACACAACAAATATATCTGCATGTATCCACGCGCGTGTGTCTATATTACATGATAATAATTTGCAAAATCTCGTACCTTTCTTCTCTCGTAACTCGACGCACTTTGCGCCGCGGAGAGATTCATTTCTCGCGGCGCTTTAAAGCGGCACTTTAAATCGAAACTGTCGAGTCGCGTTAATACGCGAGTTACATGAGGTACCGTTATGCCTCGCCGTAGATTCCGCGTGTAAACGCAAAACCGAAATAGCCCGATGAATATTCATTCCCAGTGGTGGTTCGCAAGTTGTAAATAAGTTCCGAAAACTGCCGGACCGAACCCGCCGCCACGAACCTCCTCGGGAGAGACGGCGGTAAATTTTTCCCGGGTGCTTCGCGCGCTCTTCGATAAATCGCGCCGAGCGCGTAATTCATCGCGCAGATTTACAATTCGACGGCGAAGGGCCGACGCGTAGACCGTCGGAATATATCAAATCACGCGAAATAACACTGCAACCAACTGTATAATCGCGCGATCGCACGGATAGAACGTGTTTCGCTTTCGAATTTCGAATTCGAAGGTAATACCGGTGATTGCCTAACCACCCGCTTCGGTATCATTGGATGTTTCAGCGAGGCGACTCAGTAGCCCTTGCGAACAACGACGGGCTCTCCCAGTAGAGCACAGTTATCGCCGATTTATTATTTGGATCACGGTCGGTTACCTCCGCGCCGTAGACGACGAAGAGCGGCTAATGACGTTCTTCCACGAGTCTCGAGCCGGCGAGAAGCGACAAAAAGTTGGCGTCGACTTCGTATAACTGGCACCTATCGCAAGGGGGAAACGAGAATTCACCTTCCAGTTCCTCCGTCCCTTCGGCCTTCCCTTCTCGCTGAGTCCGAGGAAGAGTTCGCGGATTCTTCCGAACGGCGGTTCGTAAGTCTTCTCTTTTTTACGACAGTTCGATGCTTCTTTTCCATTCGAAGTAGCCAAGGGCGCCTGCTTCAATCCCGAAGTCGGGATATATTGTTCCTTAATACTTCTTATTTTCATCCTAATATATTAGTTTATTAACATTATATTATTTTATTAAATATTAATTTATGTTTAATACCAACTCTTTCGTTATCAGTGTCTGTATTATAAAAGTGGGCTGAAAATGCCCAACATTAACCAACAAATCAATCGTGACGAATATATATATATACAAGAGGTTTTCGAGGTCGTTAATAAGAAACTGCTGTTAAAATCACACAATTACACACAATAGGATGTTCCCTCGATATATATTTTCAAATTATAAATATAATACAGTTATAATGCAGAATCGAAAGAGAGAGAGAGAGAGAGAGAGAGCGAGCATGTGTCGGATACACGGACAGTCGTTCGCGGCTCGCGGCGGAAAGCAATTAGCCGTTCGGCGGACGCGCGTGTTGCGGCTAAACCGGCGAATTTTTTGCCGCGGCCCGAATATCGAGCCGGGTGATTGATGGATACACGTGTATACGCGTGCACTAAGAATATAATCATAGCCACGCGGCCGAGTAATAAGTTGCATTACCATCACGCTGTCACTGCCGCACGGGCACCGTCGCGATTTGCATGGTCACGCGACGGCGAAACGCGAGAATTTCAACGACCGGGGCGCAATTTTACGATCGCTCTTGTCTTCCCCTCGCCGTGCGGCTAGACGAGAATTCGGCGACGAGGAGTGATGTCTCTGCCACTGCGGCCCCGCAAACGTTCGTCTGAACACTCAGCCGTACCCAAGCTCGACTTAGATAATCGCACACTTACTTGATTTGAACGCAATAATATGTTAATTCGTGCATGAATTATTGAGTATATTCACCGCGATATTTTCACCGTACGTATTTACGTTATATCGTAAAACAAGCTGGATGATAAATTAATCAGAATCCGCGCGGTTGCTCGAGTGTTAAAGCTACTTTCACGTGACACCTGTGGTCATGACACTGCGCCGCGCGCGTGTTTGCGACTATCGGCGCGTGCAACGCGCGGCGCCCGCGAATGCGCTCGAAATTTTTCCAGTCCGCGCTGTCCCCCC